CAAATATTTAAAAAAGTAGAAATTAATATTAAATATAAATTTCATAACATTTGTAACATTTATATGTTATAAAACCTAATTTAATTTCTACTAAAGTTTCATACAGTTGTATACATTTGCTAGAAAATCCGATATGTAATAAAGTCTGCCAAAAATGCAATTATCTATCATTTTTATACATTTTCACTCCTAAAAATAAAATTTATAATATTCGTTGCTGTAAAATATTAATGACAATTTTCTATATTAATACTATTAATATTCTCAATAGAAATATTTGCAGTATGTTTAACAAACAAAGGAGATCAAAAGATACAAATACACAGAAATTCACATTTGTCTTATCAGTAATGGAACTATCAAGTAATCAAGTTAAATAAATTGTACATGACAATTCGACAATCGTCACTCCTGATAAAAATAAACAGAACCGGATGAGACCCGCGATAAACAGCTGGAAAACTGGCGTGACACCACCGTGCGTCCATTGTCAGGGAAAACGATCAGCGAAACCGATAAAAAAAACGCGCAGTACCCGCGCGTCATATCGCGTATGACAGTCCGCGATTATTAAACGCCCCAGGGCTGCTAATGCGTGCCATTCGCATTGTAACCTGATACAGCGACGACGATGACGACGGCGGTGGTACCGAGGATTGCCCGTCCGACCAGGCGCCGTGGTCGAGTATCGCGACATCCGGAGCTCATCGCTTGAAAACCATAGGCACTCACTTCCTTGTTGCCGCTGATACCCGATACGTAGATCTTGACGACCATCGCGCTGGCTGTGCGACCACCACCGGCCGTACTTCCTAGACTGGACGACGCGCGTTCCCTGGCGTTCCCCTCGTTGCACTGCGCCGCGCTGTGCTACGCCACGCTACGCTATACGCTCCGCTCCGCTCCGATTAGGCGGCGCGCCGGATCCGGACGACGCGACGTGCGGGAACGATCGCGGGGGGCAACGGTGGATAGCCGACCACCAACCGGTCGCTCGTCGTGGCGGTGGATTCCGCTATTAGCCGCTCGCACGTCGACACGAGTGACGCACCGATCCCAAGAGAAACGGAGCCGGACTGCCTGGCCAGGCCTACGTCATACCGGGCCGGTTCCTCTTTGATCTTCCCAGGGATGGAACGAATGATTTTCCCACTTAGGATTACCTATCACAAAAAAGAATGCATATCATGTATACCTACACTTTTTTAAAAAAGATAATCCGGGATTGGAGGAGGGAATACAATTTTTTATGCGTTACAAATCTGGTAACTTCCACTATGTCGCGCGCTGCGTAACGTTTATAAAAAAAAATCGCGTTAGTCTGGAAAAATAATTTTTCGAAACTCCACGAAACGCCGATTCTTTTCATTCGTCAGCCTCCCTCGCGATTATGTAACGCGTTACGATGACATTATATAACGTGTATTTTTGGAAATTTGTTAAAAAACATAATAGATGATGACATTTGTTTGGATGCATCGGGCATAGTCTGGACTACGAAGTGTTTGACTATAGTAATCGAATTATGTAACTTATAGCATTGTTAATTGATTCATTGTTTGCAAAGAAATTTAAATAGTAAGTTAAAGTATTTTTTTACTTGAATTTTTTTCGACAAAGACCATTTTTGAAAGATAATAATGAAGCTCTTAGAGAAATTGAGGTTCTACTTGTAATTATTCACGCAATATAGTTCTACACAGTTCTACATACATTAAAATCCGAGACACCGAAGACTCTTTATTCAGTATTTAAAACTGTATGCCCTTACGATACATTTGTGTGTACGTTCCTGTGTTAGGTAACTAGTAGTAGTCGATAAGCCGTGTTGGTCAGCGGTTTGAATTAAATTGAATTAGCGAGGACTTTCTTTTTGTAAGTATTTCGTTCATACACGCAAACATGTGTCCGTAATCCCATTTAATCTTTAACTTCTAATATATCTCGAGTATATATCTATCTTTTTTTAAATTTAATTTAAAAATTATATTATATGTGATTTCTTAAAAATGTGCGTATTAAAAATATACACGTTTTCTCTGTTGAAATTTTGTTAAATTATACAATATATTTCAAGTTTAGAAATTCATATTTTGTTTTACTAAAAAATATCTTTTTATCATTACAGAACAATTTTTTATTATAATAATGGTATATTTAATATTTTCTTACAATGTGTACCTATTGTAATATTTTTAATGACTGAAATACATGTACGTAATATTTTCTTCAGAAGAAAAATAATACATATATGTAATTCGCGATATAAAATAGCGTTCATAAATAATGGAAAAATTTGCCATTAATTTTAAACAAGTTTTTCCCGCTATAATTTGAAATTTATCATTCATACTTTCGTCGCTAACTTCCGAATTCCGATGTTGCACGACGCTATCACTGTGCTGCAGTGCTGCCTGTGCTGTGTGAGGTTACTTCGCTTCTTTCCTAATTCTTTCCGGTTCTTAACGAGAGTGATCTTTACCTGTTAAAAATGGTAAGATATTTTATCGAATTTTACGTATCAAATCTTAATGAAATCTACGTTATGTTGATCACCAAATAAGAATAATGGCTATCAAAAAATTTTTTATATATATATTTTATCGTAAAATGCTAATATTACATATCTGTGAGAGTTCTAACCTTATAACGAGGTTATGTTTTGAAAGCGTTTGTTCGATTGTATATTTCTGATCTTTAATATCATTGAAGTTACCTGTAGTGCAGAGGCCCTAAAACTGCTTGAATTTTAACAGGCGAAACGCACGAAGAAGGTAGGAATCACCGGTAAATATGGCACCCGTTACGGTGCTTCCCTTAGGAAAATGGTCAAGAAAATGGAAATTACCCAACACAGCAAGTATACTTGCTCGTTTTGTGGTAAGGTAAGTAATTGTCGTGCTTTATACTATGAATTGGAAAGATAAATTTTCAAAATGTTTGATATTCTTTTTTAAATTAAGATTTTGATATAATAAATTCTTTTTATCATAGATATGTTCTATAGTAAATCTTTTATACGAACATTATTTCACAATTTAATGCAATTAATTCAAGATACTATCAACTGTGTTAAACGATACTATTTTCATTTTCTAACAGGAGGCCATGAAACGTAGTGTCGTAGGAATCTGGTCCTGCAAACGATGTAAAAGGACAGTTGCTGGTGGTGCATGGGTATATTCTACGACAGCCGCTGCTTCAGTAAGATCAGCTGTACGTAGATTACGTGAAGTCAAAGAACAGTAAATGTATGTAATAAATATCTTTTTAACAATTATACTTGTAATTTTATTTAATACAAACCAACCGTTTTTAATTGATATTATTGAATGACCTGAGCAATCATGACATTTACAATTGAATTTTATTAAATTGATATTAATTTTATTGAATACTTCACATGTTTGTCAAACTCATCTATGTTTCAACATTACTCACAATTATTTGGCTTTAATTTTTTATTGTTGATAAAATGCAAATTATGTAAGGCTATTAAAGAAACTATTTTACAAATATTAAACAGTCATGAACATTTGCATTTATTAATCAGAAATTATATATAAGTATTAAAATAATGATACCAACGTTTCACATGTGTAACGAAACTAATTATTTATTCTAACAAGATGTAATTATATGATCATAGTTATTTTATAATATTCTATAGAATACTTATATGGTACAATTTTAACAGCTATAAATAAATTACTTTTCAAAAGGCTTCATTTTTTAATCAAATTTGATTCTAAAAGGAGAAACAAAAAGTCAGGTTTAAATGTCATTAATGTGCATACATTCATTTTTACAAATTTTACTTATTATAGAAATGTTTAAAATTATTATAGTAGTATTATAGAGACATGCGTTATATAAACTTAATGTATACAAATAATTTTATTGTCTTTAAAAGATAATGCTTACGCAGTTCAGGTTATTATAATAATCGAAACTGTTCTTTCATATTATCATAATCGATTGAACCGTGAAGCTAGAGACGTTATTATTTATTGAGCAAATAATTAAAACAAAAATCGTTCATTAGTAATTTTATTCATATTAATAATAGCATTCTCCACGAAATCAGCCTGTAAGGAATGACGTATTTGCAAAGAGGTACTATTGACTATCATTTTTCGATCGCGATCGAACACTATCATTTACCTATAAAGTGGACTGACACTGCGTATTTTAACATATAAGTCAATTTGTATTCTATACAAAAATAAATACCACAGTCTTAAGAAGACAAATGTATGTCAAGCTATTAATGTTGCACCACCACCATAACATTCTTTTGAATTACATAAGAATAATGAGTATATTCATCATTCAATAGTGGATAGGGAAGATCTTAAAGCTGTGTCGGAAGTTATTTGCAAGAATGTAAACTTACGACAATTGCTTGTTTTCAATAGCAGATTTGAGAATGTATTGAATAAAAGATGTCATTTTTTGTAATTGTTTGAAGGATAAAAACATTCTTTTGTAACTTATGATGTCGAAGAGAAAGGTGCCAGGATTAAAAAAAATAAAGATGATTTTCATCTTTGTATAAACGGTCATAATTCTCTGCAATTATATTTTAGTTAAATTTGTTAACTACCTTAATCTTTAAATGCATCATGCTCAAAAATTGTTTTGCTTAAAACGATTTTATGGTATAATATTTTGTCGCATATTAATTCACAAATTAAATCTGTTCGGGAAGGTAGTTAACAAGTAACTCGCAAATGTACGCAATAGCTGATTATGCCAGAAAAATCTGCCATCATTAAAATATGGAAGACACTCTGGTACGTTCGCATTGAAACTGTATTATGTCTCTGCAATAAAATTTAACGAGAGTTAATAATTGTATGCATCTAACTAAACCTGATGAATTCTACATATCGCTATAAATTCTGATAAGTACATCCTTTGCATAAAACGATGCGTAACAGTTAAATTATTCGAACGAGATGCAACGAGGAACTATCAGAAACATGAATATAAAAAGATTCAGTGCTCTTCCCTAATTATTAAATGGATTGTACAATAATAATTTTTCTATATCATTATCGGTACCGTTACATCGACTTCACTGACATTCCAGCATTCATTCCGTCATTATTTCGCAATGCATTTTTAGCATATTCACATTTCATTTCGTTGCCGATTTAATGGTCAGTCATTCATTATTGCATTCATCCGAAAATTATCAAATATGTCTCTCTCTCTCTTATTAACAATTATATTTATAACAGTGGTCTGATATGATTTCTTCTTTACTGCTTTTTAGTCAGGAAAGAAGAAAAAGGAGTTCACTTTGTTCGTCGTTTAGTATCACTTATGTTCACACGCGATTAGAGAAATTCATCTCTGTTACTATTGTGCATTGCAAGGCGTATCGTAAGGACCGTACCACAAGGAATGGCAGTAAATTCTCGATACTGCTTCATCAATGGTAAACAAATCCTGTAGAATCTAATTATTTAACTACAATTTCTGATGCGATTCCGACGAGAATCGATTCCTCGCGCACTTTCAATTTATTTGACGTACACATTAGATGTAATATTGAACCGTTTCTTCGCCACTGGTTATAATACTTCATTCTCTTTTCTCGTACACGCACTTGGGAAGATCTTATACGATCAGTCCATCGGTTACCATTCATTAAACATATTAACAAATATTGCGTATAGATTTATAAAGTTGATTCGTATTAGCTGGCCTGCCACTTGAATTTGCTACGCATTATCCATCGTTGGCCGATGTTGTTGACATCGCACTGCGCTAAGACAGGTTGCGCCGGATCGCCTGAGTGGGGTTTTGATAAACAGTAACCCGTGTTTGTGTGTTTAATCATTTTGGTCTAGAAAGAATGACGTATATTAAATATCAATTGCATTTATCGAAACTATGTTTCATAAACAAAATATATTTAATAGGGCTCTCGAAAAACAAACAACAATAATAAAATATTGATAAACGGACAATGAGAGCATTAACACAGCGCGGTACTTGGAGCGCAATACATATAATATATTCTCAATAATTTTACATTACGTGTCTATACAAGATTCTTGGACGTTTTGGTTTATTTTAAACCATCATCAGCAATGCCATATAAATTATATATTATATATAATTGTATTATATTATAATTATATATATAATATATATATTATATATAATATTATATATAATTTATACGGCATTGTGCTGATGATGGTTTAAATCGAAACGTCCAAGAATTTTGTATAAACACGTAATATAAAATTATTGAGAATATATTATATGTATTGCGCTCCAAATACCGCGCCGTGTTAATGCTCTCATTGCCCGGTTATCAATATTTTATTATTGTATGTTTCATAATTTTATCTTTTTTTATCTATAGATATTTGTTTGCTTTGTGTATTTAAGTATATCTTTCTCTTTATTTTTTCATCTTTCTTACCTCATCACTGTAAACCCATGCTTGATTACCACCCATGCCATGACATCGTACGATCTTTACTGGACCTTGTGGATTAGCTGCATCAAGGCACATATCATCAGACATTATCTGTTGCCGCTTAGTGTAAGCAAATACCTGGATAATACAACTTTCATCAGAAATAGCGTACGCTCAAAATAGAAACAATATCTCTCGATTTCCATTACACATGTGTATTACTTCATATTTAAAATAAACACAAACCTGATTACCGCCTAATCCGTGACAATAACTAATTCCGACGTTTTCCCCGGTTCTTCTGCCCATAGTATCCAAACAAGTTTGCGTTTCAATATTTTTTACATCACCAAGATAGTAATAATCTAGTGGCATCGGCGATTCTGGATATATATTCTCCAAGTACCATCTGAAGCTTTTACATTTCAGTCGTTCTCTGAGTTTTATCCGCTCGGAAACATCACCGACGTCGACGTTTCGCGCCCCTAAAAGAATTGATTTTCTGTAACTCTACAACATTTTACAAATGTCGAATTTATTTACACGTATTTTTTTATATATCGTGCTTTCATATAAATTGGTTGAAAAGAAGATTTGTCAGAGAATTTAGTGCTAAAAATAAAGAAATTTGCGACCATGGAGTATATTGTATGATACATTAAATGCCATATGCTTGCTCCTAAAAAATAAGTGTGCAATTACGCAACGCATCTTTTTGGAAATCTGAAAGATGTAAAGAAGTTTATGAAGTAGCATTGATTTATATATACATATACGCAATAACTTTCATACATCTGCAAATGTAGCGTGCAGAGATGTATTGTGCTTCATATTAAAATTGTTTTATATTAGAGTATATATAATTTTATACATGTATTGTTAATTAAGAAACTACTATGAGTACATGTATGCTTTTTATTGTTACTTGTATGCCTATCACTCTAATAGAATATCTCCCTTTAATAATAACCTTTTGATTATAATAGTATCACATAGAACCCTTAATGCCATGCGTGATTTATTTTTTTATTCTCCAAGTATACTTCTACATATCCTACTTGCATTGCTGTTCTCGTTTATTGTACATCATATCTATCGTTGTCTAATGGATTATTAAGTAACAATATTACAGTGTTGAGAGAACGTAATAGCAATGATGTTTTAAATAAATGTTAACGGGTATCTGATAGAGATAGTGAGCACCCGAAGCCGTAAACAATAAAAATGATAAAGAGACATGCACAGACTTCTTCCACAGCATGCTGCATCGCAAAGCAACCAATACATAGAAAGAGATGTATAGGGATAGGGATTCTCTTTTTCTTGTTTTTTTTTTGTGCGAGATACGCCAGTGTTAGTGCTACCTGGATTAATGTTGTAATAGAAGTACTTCCATTGGTCCAACCAAACTTCTGCGAGCCGCGCATTGTTGTGGTTGACTATCTTGCTCGTACCGCCCGGGAAGGTATACGGGGTTGACTTACGGAATACATGCCCGACGTGCGAGCATGTCGCAATTTCCAATGTCCCACCACACATCCATATCTAACCAACTCAGTTCTGTTAGTGTGTTAGCAGTTACAAACGGTAGTCACACGAAACGAGACAAAAAGAAAAAGAAAAACACATGAGAAATATGATAACGGTATTCTGCGGCTCATGGTGGATTTAGAAATTCATTTCTTCTCTTGCGGCACCTATAATGTTGTTTGATGAGAGAATTCCATTAAAAGCAAGCGCAATTTTCAATTGGTTAGTCGGCTGGATGGATGAGTGGTTAAGACTACACCAACATTTTTATTGAGACATAGAAATAAAATATATCCGAAATGTTCATTCAATGTTCATGTTTATGCCTCGGGATATTCCTTAATTCTTCATTGTATTGAAGTATACTTATTGTTTGGTCGAAAAAAAAAAAACAAATTGAAGTAAAGTATTTCGACAGCAGCAAGATTCTGAGAATAATTTATGTAGTAAGAGATTTTAGTTTTAGTTTAGATATTAGCAATATATAATGTATACAACTACTAATGTGTATTATGTATGAAATATTAGTAAATACATAAATCATAATGTGCATAACACATACAAACGATTAACTTAACTAATTTATGGTATACCTTTGTGTATACAGGGTGTTTCACGAGAAAGGATCAATATCTTGGGAGGTGACAGTATCGGTCATTTTAAGCAAAAATGTTCATATGAACATGTGTCTTATTTTTCCGAGATAGGGCGACGTAATATGAATACTGGGAAGCGTACCACTTTCACGCAATCTATTGAAAATCTTGAAAAACACTTTCCGATTCGGAATTCTGTATGTAGGAAAGCGTCGATGATATTCTCTAACAGCAGCAGAGGCATCACCATCGCAGAAGCCGTAAACGTACAGCATATCTGCATATTCGGCATGTGTGAATAGTGCGGCATTTTTGACAACACTTCTACAACGTTACAAACAACACTGACTGTTGTGTTGATTATAATCAGCCGTTATTGAGATCCGATAATCTTAAACCCCCGCAACTCGCCGATTCGCGTAAAGGAGGCACGGCATGTTGCTGCGCTTGGCTTAGCGCCGAGACACTGCCATGTCTCCAGACATTGTAAACGCTTAACAGGTCACAGCGAAAACAGAAAATAAACAGCGACGCTAAAAGAAGTAAGTGAGCTAAAAGAAGTCGTAATATTGCATGCCAAATTCGCTCTATCTCGGAAACCGTTCGAAATAGGACACATGTTCATATGAATATTTTTGCTTAAAATGATCGATATTATCACCTCCCAAGATACTGACCCTTCCTCGTGAAACATCCTATATATAACTAATGTGTTAAAAATCATTTTATGAAAAAAATGTATTAACGCAAAACTGTTATTAATTATTAGTCAAATGGAGAAATAACTTGTTAACAAGAAAATAATGCATTCAAAAATAACTGCAATTCATATAGCTATGTGAATTATAATAATATTCGTGAGAAGTAATATAAACGGCTTATATCAGATACCCGTCAAATATATTTATATAGAGTTTTGCTTGAATAATATTATATAGAATATAATACTGTAATTTCAAAAAAATGTTTTATCAATTAACATCGTTGCTTTCGGTATAAGCGCTATATGAGTACCAGCCACATGAAAATTTGAAATAATTAAACAATACGTTAAATTCTTTAACGAATTTTACAAATTTTTCAACAACTTTTTAAATTACTGTTTCAAATCGGATATACTTATATGTGTTTATATATATTGAATAATTTTTAGAAACAAAAATTTGTAACAAATAACATGAATTCTGATAATATACTATGAGATATGTATAATTTAAGTGCACAATAATGGCATCATTTAGCGCAATTTAGTACAACACACATTGGAGAGAAATTAATTAAACGATACACTTGATTATCTAACCTGGATTCATGGCATAGTAAAAATCTCTCCACTCATCCATCCAGACTTCGGCCACCCTAGCCGCATTGTGCAGGACTATCTTGCTGACACCACCAGGGAATGTATATGGACTCTTGTCCCGGAATACATGTCCCACATGTGAACACGGACTGATTTCTAATGTTCCGCCACATTGCCACACCTACAAGGTACTTATGACTTCACAAATAACAATGGAAGTTTATAGAATACCCTTTGAAGGACCCTTTAAAAACTCTTTGTCAAATATTCTAATTGTCACATACTGCACAGTTATCTTTAATACAAAATAGAGGCGAGAGTTTATTATTATTACTAATGATATTAGGAATGATTCGTTTTTCGTAATGAACAAAGTCAGGATGCTGATAATCCTGCAAATTAATTTATACATGTATAAAATATATAGAATTAGGATATTAGAATGAAACTTTCAAACATTTCAATCTTCTTTCCTTCATTCTTATAAATAATCATTGTTATAATTTCTTAAATTGATATATTCACTATGTGATTTTATTGGATATAATCTCATACTGTATAAAATTTTTGTGGATATTGATTAAATTGGTAGTTTTCGTATCTTAAAGGATGCTTACCCGAAAGCTCATTTCAAGATTTTCACCACCCCAGATGTCCATGCCTTCGTCGTACGCACCCAACTCGTAGAAGTATTCTTTATCAATAGAAAACAATCCACCGGCCATAGTCGGTGTTCGTAGCGGTGCCGTTCTGTCGCTATTCCTCCTGTCCATTTCTCTCTGTGCAACTCTGTACCTTTTTAAACGAAATTAACATAATATTAATATTTTGTTTAAAAAGATAAAAAATTAGATACCACAAACGCATAAAATGAACTAATATTTAATTTGACAGAGACTGCCAACGCGTTTTGTTTCAGTTTCAGAGAATTTCGAAATTAATTATAAATACATTTAATTTAATTAAACAATGAACACAGTATATATACACATTTGTGGCGAATATTGCGGGAACCGTAAATTTGTAAACTCGACAGCTCGTAATTATACATGAAGGAGAGAAAGAGAGAGATTATTATCGATTATATTTCAAATCATTATACATAGCGATTAAGTGAATTAGAACAAGAAGAATTTATTGAATTTATGTATATGGTAGCTTAAAAATCGCTGAATTTATGAAACTATCATAATTTAACGGAGATATAAATTTATGTCAAATATATATATCAATATAAGATCGATAGATTAATATTTCAAGCGGATTTAACTATATATACCAATCTAACTATTCATGACTTGCAAAATATGTAGATTTCCACATTTGCAACTCAAATTTTCTTCGTATGTGTCCCTTTTTTTAAAAGGCAAGAGAGATTTAACTATTTCGGTTAAAATACGAAGGTAATCTTATTAAAATTCATGACATTTAATGTTGTAACGTCATAATGTTGTAATACCATCTGAAGTTTAATTTCCAATTGAAACCTCCCCAGGTCATATCACTGGCCGAGATATACTCGAAGGTGTCGTCGCTGATTACGTCTATGATTGGACAGACAACAGTATGTCTGTCGTTCGCAATTCTTGATAATAGCGGCTCCAGCCAACCCTCGGTGCACTCGCAGTGCGCATCTAGAAACGTGATTACTTGTCCTTTGACATGCTTTGCCCCTAACAGCCTCGCTCTTATCAGGCCCGACCTTTTTTCGGTGCGATACACATACGTGGGAACGGGCAGCGTAGTTACGTAGTCTTCCAAATCTTGCTTTAGGTGGTCTAGAAAATAAAATTTACCGGTCACTTTGCTTCAAGCTACGATTCTTGCAATTGTCTATCGATTCGATATCAATGTTTATATTTTCTTTCATTTATATATACAGTTGCGTCGATCGTTCGCTGTTATATGATACAGGAATTACAAATCAATCTATACTATAAACAGTAAACACCGAGATAAAAACATTGGTGCTCGTCATACTCGTTACGCTTATTTGAAAACGATACTAGAACGTACCACGCTCACTCGCATCGTCCACGAGGATGATTTCCTTCAGCAACGACTTGGGAGATCTGTTTATCACGGACCAGACCGTCCGCAGTAGAGTGGTCCATGCCTCGTTATGAAAAACTATCACGATACTCGTGTCTGGAAGATACTTGGCGTATTTCTTATTCTTACAACCTTCGAGTCTGATATCCTTTAAGGATCGATTTAAGGAGATCATATCGCTGGCCATCAGATTGAATTGATTTAGCTTGAACAGCTCCTGTTGTTTGGCATCGTTCTCCGGCGGGATGGCCACCGCCGCTCCCATCTCGCCAGGCATCCCCTTATTCTCCTTGACGACCTTCGCTGGCCGCCACAGGTGCAGCTCCGACTGCAGATATTGTCTCTTATTACTATAGTCTTGCTTCAATGCCTGCGGCTCTCTTATCTGGGCTTTTGGATGCAGTTGAAGCGGCTCCTCGGACTGAAGCGCCTGTTGTTGTTTGTTGTCCGAGCAACCCCATCCGGACCCTCCGATGCAGTCCGAATAGAGCATAAGCACCATGACGTCGACCAGGAACCATACTAGTGACGTCAGCAGTATCACTTGACACGTGTGAATGCGAATCTTGGAGCGAAACATCTTTCAACGGCGGCAGTCTTCCACTTGTACCACGAGCTCATCACCCAGTCCGCCGCGTGTGGACTCACGATAAGGACTTCTCGACGAGATTTAAAACAGAAATACTCACAACCGTGTTCTACTAATTGTGCGGGCCTTCGTGGAATCACATGACTGAAGGCGGCCAGTTTTTAGCGCTCTGTAACAGAAAGATGAGCCGGATTCATTACAGATTCGATGGTGCATGGAGTTCCTATCGTATCGGAAATTCCCGAGAGATAATATTAAAAGGTTGCCTGGGAGATACAACCAGAATTCTTTCGGCAGATCGATCCGCTCTAGCTTTACGCACGCTTATCACGATTTTACGAATCACGAATGAAGCCAGGACTTTTTCTTCTCTGCGTATAATATCAAGATACATATCGTATCAAGATGGAACTCGCGATACGACTTGCGAAAAACGAATGAAAACTCGTTATAAAAATCGATTGCTTTTCTCGATAATATTTGTCAAAAGCTCGTAATGAATATCCACTCACGTTTTCATATTTCTAATAATTTATATATATTTTAATATTTTATATGTCTAAAGATTTAATATGTCTGTACGTTTAATATGTTATACATGATATTTAATATGTAATATTTTGATATTTTGCATGTCTCTTGATACATTTTGAACTTTATTAACTTATTAACTTTATTAAAATTAATTTTAATGCTATTGTTAATAATGATTCTCGTATACAGATTATTTTATGCCAAGTTTTTGGAAAAGTTTTGATTATGCTTACTGCATACGATGTGGCGATTGCAAGAAATACGAAGAGACCGCACGGGTGAAAAGTGCATACGTCAGCGAAGGGTAACCGGAGCACTTTGCGACACTTAGGTAAGCACTTAGCACATGATTAATTCGTATACACATCGATCGCGGAGAGAATGCCACTTTTAAATAGGACATTTTGTTTCGATAAGTTGTTCGTTGCGTGAGTTTCATGACAGTTTTCATACAAATAGAACCGACAATACAACGACGCGCGACTAGTGCACACACATCTATGTTTGCGTATGAGTAAATCAGATAAGAATTGACGATGAATCTATCTATCATGCATATCGGTATTCTCTTATCGCATTGTGCTGTGTATAAACGCTATTCGTTGTCATATTGTATTGATTGCAACGCCAGTAATGTACAGTTTTATGAAAAAAGAAAAAAATGGTTCAGTCGCAGGATTATTTTAGGAATGATATATATTGAAACAAAGCGTCTTAAGACCGCAAATGTGAATATATAACTATTAAGTAACGAAAGCCACAACGGTCTAAGTTGGATTTTAAATAATATTTTAAATAATATTTGGTGTGAATTTATATTTATACATATTCAGTTCTACAAACTGTGCGCCAAAATCATTTCCAGTTTTGAAACGCAGGGTGCGGTCCACTTGACGCTACAAATGCTTCGAAGCTTTTGATTGACCAATCGGAAAAAAGAATTTTATTAATTGACCAATCAAAAAATGCTTCGAAGCATTTGTAGCATCAAGTGGATCGTAGCTGCAATCGTAAGTCGAACTGGGATAGTAGTTGTAAATAATTTATTGCGAAAAATATTACCTCAACTAGAATTCAAACTCCGATATACGTGTGATATACAATATATTATTTGCGAGACAAGCTTATTTTGTGTTATGCCGAGTGGCGAAGACGCGCAACTATTTTATATATCGATAAACGGAAGGTTGACTAGTTGGCGTAATTAAACTAATGATTTTCGCAAAACTTGCAATAACTATAGATAATGCAAAAAGAATGTTACTTTCAACGTTACGGAGCGTTACCTTCTTTGCGAAACAAACTTCGTGTAAAAATATCTGCCTTTTACCTCCGGTACCATCACGGTACTACCACCGATTGCAGTCAATACCGGCTGTCATAATCAATAAAAAAACCAGCATGATCATAATGGTAAAGTGTTTCGAAGACGCGACGGAAATACAGATCCGTGAGTAATTATCCCACGCACCAGCGAGGTCACTTGGCCTGGGAAATTATATTGCGATGAGACAGCTGTGTTCTCTCGATGGTACTAATTAATTAGCTGCTGCTAAATAATTCACTTTCATCATGATAACGAGCGGGAAATGGGAGTAATAATGTCGGATGACTATGCGCGAGCCAGAACAACGGCGACATTCCCTGTCGGTTGCATTGCACAAACTTTCTATTATAAAAAAAAGGTAGAATATAAATGTATACATATACAGAAATATAATACACGCACGCACGCACGATAGCATTTTTTTGGTTCCATTTTACAAATAATAAAAAATTCAAGTAATGAGGATATCCGAGAATGAAAAAAAGGACATTAAATTTTTATACAGTTTACAAAATTGTTTATTTTAATTAAAATGAGAATAATAATTTATATATATACAATATATATATAATCTAATTGAGTGGAATTGTTTTATCTACACAACTATGTTTTGAATACATTTTGTTAAATTGACAATTTTTTTGAGAAATTATTTGCTAATGATAAAATAAGAGCAAAGCAATTTAGATAAAAATATTTAACTGTAAGGCATCGTCTTATTGTTAAAAAAAACAATTTTTACTGTTTAAAAATGAATTGTAAGTGAAGAATCGATCAATATTTACATTCCGATATATATAAATGTATTTTCTGGTTTTTCTGACGGGTAAGAAGTACTATATTTCAATGTTAAATGTACATACATATACGTTTCCCTCTTCAGTTCTTAAATATAATTAATTTGCACACATTCTGAATTTACTCAGAATTTATCCCGAATTTAATTTTAAAGTGAACGCTGCACATTTGCGACACTCGCCCCTAGAGAATTAATGGAAAGGGAAATGAAAATAAAAAAATGAATATTAATTAATACTAATTAAGAAATGAAAATTTAGCAGCAATGTGAGTTTCTATTATTATGTTGTAATTCTATAGATATATTATTTATTGACATAAAATGTCTATTATATAATGCGAAAAACTAAAATCGTCACAATACGACAGAATAAGTATATTTGTGAAAATTTTGTAACACATTCAAGAACGATTTTTCACAAAAAAATATCATAAAATCATATTCAGAGATCATATCTGGAATTTAGAAATCAAGTATCTAAAACTTTCTTATTTTGTAGAGAGAAAACGGAATCGTGATAACATTGTACAGTTATAATAAGTAATGTAATATACTGACAATAAGTATAATGTATTCTTCGTTTAATCATTCTGTCTCTGTACATGACTATTTTTCTTGCAGAAATCATCGTAGTTTTATATTCCCAAACAGTAGTAAATCTCTATGAAATGCATTATATTGTTAACAATAACAGACGAACAAAGTATTTCCGGCTTACAAACGTAACAAAACTACATTTTGCCTTTTATTTTTTTAGCAAATTATTTTTTAGTCGCCTTTGTAATAGTCGGTTGATATTGTGCTATTAACAACATTGCGTGCGGGTTACTGATAAATCGATACCGCGGCACGTTGTCAAGACGGGACATTACTTCGTGACCGCGTCATAAAAATCTTGTGACGAAGTGATGAATTGCATGTTTGTGGTCGAAGTACTGAGCTGCTTCTATTGTTTCACTATTGTATTGAAAACTGTACTTCATAAAACGGATGTTCACAGATAAAGCAGAGTTTAAACACGAGCTATCTTGCCGGTGCTAACTTTTCTGACATTAAAGGTAGAAAGTTTCCCTAAAATATTTGTCACTAGTTTTAATTCAATTTACAACTCTGATCGAATTAGTCAATTAAAGATGGAATCAATATTCGACATTAGAATCCAGTTTTAGAAAAGCTATCGCTTGTTGTAATTATTAATTATCTGTCTATTTATGGGATGACGTTGCCACATTTCGATCATCTATTAAATCTAATTTTTCTCCTTATTTTAAAAGATACGTGATAATTCTCTCACTGTTGTGAAGTTTAATCTATTTTCATGGTTTCAAAATAATTAATAGAATCATGTTTCCTCCGAGAATTCTAACGTTAAAAGTCCAATGATTAAATAAAATAAACTAAATTCAAAGATATAGAATTTCTATCAATTATATCCAAATCTTGATAATGAAATAAATTTACAGGTGATTATTTCTAATCTCGTAATAATTTTTCAGAAAATAAACATCTTACAATTCTTTTCATGGGGTAATTAGGTTTGACTTCTATTGGTCGTGCTTCAATGAGAGAGTCATTGTAATCGAAGTGCTTGAAAAGTCCGCCAATATCGCATTGACGCAATGCGACGCCAGGTAATATCATTAAAGAAAGTCTTCTCGCACAATAGGCAGCTATGAAAGCTAAGCTCCTACCTTGTTATCCACCACAAAAAGCTCTAAGCCGTACAATAATTCAGACTACGTAATAACTTTCTTGAAACTCGAAGTCGAAAACGGAAATATATTAATTACATCCTGAATTATATTTGTATTATATGTATAATACTGATCATTTTCTCGCGTACGATATGAATTTAATTTCCAATATAAATAATAACATAATACGAAGAAGCTTTAAAACACAACGTGATAACTGACTATGTAATAACTTTACGTTCGTTGTACTCAGATACGTAATTCATGTTTCAGTTTATAAAGTCACGGTGAACATTCTCATGTTTCGTTGTTATATGTATACATAATTTGTATGCGTGGGGGTTAATATCAAATGCAATAAAACTTCTAACGTTTATTTATTACACAGTAAATCGAGGGGAAGCGAGAGAGACGTTGAAAATTTATTATCAGATCAGTTTCGTCTATTCAGGCTCTCCTTACTTGGGAAAATAATTGGCAATATTTAACGCGTTAGGGAAAGTTCCGAAAATTTTAGAGCGTTCATAAAATTTAATTAACAAAGATGTGATGTTATCGAATTGTACTTAGTTTATAATTTCTGCCAGATGACATGTATGGGAATAATCTTAAACGTTCCAACGCCTGCGGGGATCAATTTAAGCCCTTAACAGAGAAAATTAACTAAACTAATCACATGGGAAGGTCGATAGGGCCGTGAGCTCAGTATTAATATAATACACGCCACAAATTATGGAACTTATAATTATATAATGCACATGGGCTGTCGCGCATCTCCTTCAGTAGCCTCTCTCTCTCTGTGACTCATTATAGAT